GGCGCCGCCGCGCCCATCTTGCCCGTATCGGTGGTACAACTCCTCTCTGAACCGCTCGTGCTTCACGCCCGGCGGCCGCGCGCGCGCAAAGGCGTCGAGGGCGGCCGCGACTGGCAGGCCCCAGCACTCGACCAGCAGCGACGCCACCACAAACCCGGTGCGGTTGAACCCCTGGGGGCGAAAAAGGCGACGCCGGGGCAGGGCCGGTCGGGTCGCCGCAAACAGGGGGCCGGCTCGAGCGGGGAGCGCCCGCCGCGGCGCCCACGGCAGGTGCCGGCGGGGGCAGGGACCTGCTCGCATCAGGGCAGGGGGCCGTGCCGTCGCCCCCCGCGGGCGCAGGCGCGAGGGTGCGGCCGCGGCTCACGTATGCGCAGTGTATCCCGATGAATTCGTTCGGGTGTCGAGAAAAGAAGTCCCTCACAACGGCCGCCACCTGCACGGATTTGTGCATGCGGCGGCCCAGCCGGTGGGCGACCACACCCGACCCCCCTGCATGGCACAAAAAGCACTCCTGCCCAGCACCTCGGGCCCCGCCCCGAGCCGAGCGCGGGCAGCGTCTGTCGGCGCCGTGTCGTGCCCTCAGCTTCCATTCCTGCAATCAACTGAACAACCACCCGCACATGCATGCTTCACCATGGGCTGTGTAGCTCGGGGAAGTGCATGACTCACCCGCGCAATGCACTCGTGTGATGGCAGCTCCTTGGCGATACAGTGGAGGTGGCGGTACTCCAGGCCAGCAGGCGGCAGGTCTGACTCATACAGGCAGTCTGGGGCGTGGAGGGCCCGGCGCGTCGAGCCGGAAGGGGGTTACAGGGGGTCAAGGGTGTGGCTGACAGCGAGGCAGAGATGGCACTTGAGATTTAGGTGGAGAAGCACACTTGGCGAGCCAGCTGTGCTGAGGCGCTCCGCTGCCACCCGGTCAAAGCGAGGGGTGCAAGCGGCGCGTCAAGCGGCGGGAGCAGGGGGCTGCGTTTGGCGGAGCCGCACGGGCACTCGAGCACCGCGCATTGAGCCCTGCCCGGCTGCCTGGGACTCGCCGCCGCACCATGGTTGGACAGGTCAACGATGCACCCGATCCGCCGCCCCGCGGCGGCCTGGGTTGACAGCAGCTGCTCGATCGTTAGGGAGTGCTTGGGGGGCTCGGGCAGCTGCGCGGCAGGCGCGCGGTCGAGGAGGAGAGCATGAGGTGTGCGCGAGCGCTGTCAAGCGCACGTGTCACATACACAACAGACAGACTCGGCCGACGCCGACGCATGCGAATTTGACATATAGAGTGGGCAGAAGACAAGCAGACATGCATACACACCCCTCCGCCAGCCTTCGGCTCACTCTCTCCCCTCCCCGCAGTCGATCATTCAAGGGGCTCACCTGCCAATCAGATAGGATCTCCTTTGACAGCGGCGTCTTCATGGGCAGCAGCCGCGTCGGCCCCACTGGCTGCCCCACGCTGTCGTAGTCGCCCTGCGGGGATGACAGCGGCGGTGGCGAAGAGAGTCGCGCTGGGCGTGTTCAGTCGGGGCCGCGGCGGCTCGACCCACGATACAGGGAAAACGGAACAGGCGCTGGGGCTGTAGGGCGAGAGCAGCGCATCCAGCGTGTGGCCGCGGTGCAAAGGCGGCCGCGCACGCGCGCGCGCTCGCGCACCCATTTCTGGAGCTTGGACAAGACCGTTGGGACGCCGCCGACTACCGACGCGCTTTCCGTCTCAGGCTGCGCGGCACGTGCGAGCGGGCGGGAGGGAGGCGGGGCGCTGATCAGCGGGGACGCCGTCGCCGCGAGAGTTTGATGCGGCGTGGGGCTGATTACTTGCCAGCAGCAGCAAGCTGGTGGGTTGCAACCGCCCCCAGTGGTCAGGCGCGAGGAAAGGCATTGTGCGCACAGCGCTGGCGGCATGCAAGGCTTGGGGCGAGCAGCTGCTGCTATATGCGGGGTGCCACGCATGCGCCTCATGACGTGCCATGCGGGGTCGCATGCAGGCACACCCGCCCCCGCTGCCCCCTTGCGTGATAGATGCAAGCGGCCGCAATGCTGCTGCTGCTCCAACACGCTGCGGCCGCCCGGCTTCGCCACGCGCTTGGGCACTGCACCTGGCCAGGGTAGCAGTCGGGATCGACGTCCACGCTGCCATCCCGCTTCATCACCATGGCCGCGCACCCAGAGCAGGTGTCTGCGCAGTGGGGCCGCGGGTGGCACACGGCGAGAGTGTGTGTGTCAAGCGACAGGCACGTTTGACGTCGGGGCTGACCGCACCGTCCTCTGCTGTGTGCATCTATCTGCAGCTGTCAGATAGAGCACCTCTGACTGTACAGTGATTCTGATGTTCCAGGCCTCCTGAGCCCCGCCCATGAGACAACCGACCGACCACGCTACTGATGATGCACCTGCAGCGCCGAGCGGCGCCCGCTGCGAAAGGCTCGCCCGCCGCAGGTCTCAGCTACGCAGGAAGACTATGTGGAGTAGACCTGAAGAGAAACCCAGGCCACCGCTTCTTTCGTGTCGAAGCCGGTGCACATGCACCTTAGCGAACAGGAATAATCCCAGGATCTCCGCTTTGTCACAACCAGCAGCTGTGATTGCTCGTGTGACAGATGTTCATCTGATAGAATTGTCACAAGTGAACCTCACGGAACATACGCGAGCGGGCGTGACCGGAAGAGCTTGCGGAGCCGAATCCCCGTCACTTTGCCAGTAAAAGCAATCTCAATTGTGATAATTTTGGTTTACGAAGCAGTACTTGCCGGCTGTGGTCACACGTGGCGTGGCGGCGCCAGAAGCGACGACGGGGCAGAAGCTGCATCACGATCAGGACCGGCTTGCCCAAAATCATGACAGCACTTGTTACCGTATGCACACGCATGCATGCATGAAAGCGCAGTTGTGCTGTCTGAATATTGACGTACTGTATACGTACCCGCACGTGGGGCAGGTCCGGTACTCAGGCATTTGAGCAAGCCGCCTGCGGCTGGGTTCCTCGCATGTGAAGATTTGCACAAATCAGAGGAAACATGTGTGCGGTGCCCCCCTCTGTGTCTTTGACACAATTCAATGAGTTGTGCGCACGGACGCTTGGCCAGGCTGCCGCAGCGGCCCGGCTCAGCAGGCCGAGAGCCAGCGTAGCTGGGGCGCCCCCCTCACAGGGGAGCCCGGCCGGCTCTGACGCTGCGCGGCCCCGCAGAGCTCAGCCGCATGAGGCGGTTGGGCAGCCTGTGAGGAGGATTCTTTAAAGCCCCGTATTCCCAGGCTCAAGCTTACAGCTGGGACGCCTTGGCCACGCAGCCATTGGCCTCCGCCCACTCCACAAACGCCCCCCAGTTCTCGTCGCCGCGCAGCGTGCGGCAGCTGCCCACCACCACCAGCGCGCGCCGCGCGCGCGTCAGGGCCACGTTCAGGCGCCGCCAGTCCTTCAGGAACCCGATCTGCAGACGCAGCAAAAGTGTGTAGGTATCAAACACCTGAGAAAGGCGCCGGCCCGGCGAGCCTGGTACACACACTCACCTCCGCCAACGTGGTGCAATACGCTGTTCAATCCGCTGCCCGTCGTCATGTCCGGCTTGCGCGCGCGTGCCGATGAAGTTTGGCCCCCTGGATCCCCAAGCGGCCCCATGGCTGCAGCCTCACCTCGCGCCGCGAGTTGCAGCGCACCGCGCTGAACACGATGACCTCCTTCTCGCGCCCCTGGTAGCCGTCCACCGACTTGCACTCCAGCAGGTTGAGCCTCGCAGCCTCATCTGCGGCAAGGGTGCCGGCGGGTGTGGGGTGTCATGGTGGGAGCGCAGGGTGGGAAAACAAGAACAAAAACTGCTAAGAATCTGATGTATTGCAACGCTTTTGATGCTGCGCACGCCGACCCCGGGAGACGTATGGCAATCATGTTCGAAGGGCCTGGGGTACTTGCAGGGTGGGGGAAATTGCAGGCCTACAAACCTAGGTGCAGGGTGCAACAACGCGTTGCGTGCTGAAGCCCTGACAAGCAAAACAGCTTGCCGCATTCCCCGCTCACCGTCGTCGTCGCCCCCGCCGCCGACCTTGGTGGTGGTCTCAAACGGCAGCTTCCGCGCCAGCAGCTGCACCTGGGCCTTGTAAGGCGAGATGATGCCGACCTGGCCTGTGCGCAGGCCGCACCGCTCTACCAGCCTCGTCACCAGCCGCACCACGACCTCAGCCTCCTGAGGATGCAGTTGTGTTCCAGGCAGGCGGCAGTCCAAGGTTGATACATACACATACGCTCAACCGGCTGTTTGATCCGGGGCGCCTCTGGCCAGGGGCACCTGGACAAGAGGCGTGTTTATAACAACCACTACTGGCCTAGTAGGGCAGGAGGCGTGGCCCTGCACCCGGCAGCCAGCTGCCTGCCGGCTGCACCTTTTCATTGCTGTGGCTGCCGCGCAGGCTGGTCTGCTCCTCGCCGTCGATGTCCACCAGCACCACGTTGTGGCCCGCCGATGGGAACGCAAAGCCCTCGGGGCGCGTGCGGTCGGCGGCCCTCACGCCATCAACCAGCAGGCCATCGTAGAACTGTTGCAACGTGGCAGTACACCGCTCGTACGTCATCCATGGGGTCAGCATAATCAAGGAAGCAGGGCATCCGCGGTGCCGCATCGCAACAAGGCATCGGGCAGAACGGAAGCGCGCTGACGGTCTGCAGGCCAGATCATTTGCACTTGTTCGGCAGACAAGCTGCTTGCAGTCAGCAACATCTCAATCTTGCAGGGCTGCTGTATATGCTGCTGGATGGTGGTGGCCAGACATACCTGTGCATTGGGGAAGGCTGACAGAGAGGGATGCATGCGGTAGTGCACCTTTGGGATGAAAGAGGGGTGCATGGAGCAGCAGCCCGCCTGTTGTGTATGCTTGTTTGTTGAGGGTGGTGTGACCATCACGAATGCCTTCGTGGTGTTGAGCCGTCTAGCTGCCGTGTGGCAGCTATGTAGGTGGCTCAGGCTTGTCCAGCACACCTCGATCCGCTCAACTTTGGTCCCCAGCACACCCGTGCTGATTGGTCACGTGGCGCAACTGGCACGTGCTGCCCACCTGCAGCATGGCGCTGGGAGCCCCGGCATCCAGCAGGCGCTCAAACAGGCTCGTGCCCAGCCCGCCTTGCTTGGCGGCCTGGCTCTGCACCACGGGTGGCAGCTGCTTGTGGTCTCCCACCAGCACCAGGTGCCTGCTGCCCTTCGTGATGGGGATCAGCGCCTCGGGCCTGCGCAGAGCGTACGCGAGGCAGGTTGCATGACTCCCATGGCGACCCCGGACTAGGCAGTGTGACCTGCGGCGGCTGCAGCGACGCGTTGCACCAAGCAAGTGTCAGCGCCAGGTGAGCGGCAGCAACAGCTGACTGCTAGAGAAGTACGGGCGGCAGAAACGGCCGCTGCTGCTGCTGCTGCGGCGGCGGCAGCAGCAGCAGCAGCAGCAGCAGCAGCAGCAGCAGCAGCAGCAGCAGCAGCAGCAGCAGCCGCAGCAGC